GCTTTTATCTCCCTTATTAACTCCATCCATGAATTCTTTGTCTTACCAGCTACTGAATGGTGTCATCAGTGGTCTTTGAAATACCATTCTAAACCTGTTGAGGCCAGGAGAAGAGCAAAAAGATTTGTAAGAGGGCAGCTCAACAGCACCAGAAAATGTGAATCAAGTTCAGCCACTTATGTTGATGTTTATGCTGTATCTGGCTTATCCATCAATGCATCTTCCATGCATTACAAAGGGTATAAATATTAGGAATTATTGTGTCATGAGGGATGTGTAATGGAGTGCTTGGGTAGATGATCACTAACAGGGTGAGAGAGTTGTTTGGGAAATGAAAGAGGCTCAAGCCCCCAGTGTAATGTATCCTGCAGGATGTGTGTGGGCTTGAACTGATTTGTCAAAAGCAAAGAAAACAATTTTACTAATGGGTGTTTGATGAAAAATGGGCATGATGCCTTGGAAATTTCATTGCTGCCTTGGGCTCTCTCTGTCCTCTCCTCCACGGAGAGGAGACACCTCTATCTTTCACCTGCATTTTACTCCTTTGGCTTTAGGACTAACTGAGCCTTGCAGGATGCCAGACAGGTCATGTGGAGGGCTGAGGAGTGTGTCTGAAACACCCTCCTCCAAAAGCACCTGCCCGACTCCCCCAGCCTGTTTGCCTTGGCTGGATAATCTCCACCTCACTACGGGGGAGCTGTGACTGGGCAGCAGCGTTGCCGGGGCTTCCACTTGTGCACAGAGGCACAGGAGCGTTTCTGTCCTTAACAGTGGGATTCCCTTCACACGACAACGTTTTCCTCAGCCTCTGATTCACAACTGTACTGTTCAAATTACTTTTCTTTCCTTTCCCGTTTAGGAAACTCCTGTAAACTTCCCTCATCCTCTGCAAGAGGCCTGGAAGAAGGCTGGGAAGATGAAAATCAGGGTCTCCTGCAGTGCCTTTCAGTGATATTTCAGTGATATCACTTCAAATGCAGCGAGTCTCAAGTACTCTGTGCCCATAAAACCAGCTTTCTCTGGTTAAAATATGCTCAGCTTTATAAAACTAACACCTTTTTTTAGTGGATTCTGCTATTCTGGATTCAGCAGAATGTCTACTTAGGATTGAGTTACTTCAATAACTTTAAAAATACAAAATGTTGTCAGCCAGAACGTTAAAAATGCAGGTGTAAATACTGGATCTAGTAATCGCTTAAAGCACAATTGCAAAGCAAGCAGGACTGCCCTTCCACCTGGCATTGGGGAGCCAACACAACTGGGAGGCCAGACAGGGATTGGTATTGGATCTGTTATCAAAAAATCATTCCCAACTGCAAAATCTTTATGTAGCAGTCATTAAATGCTTCCAAATTCTAAACAGCCTGCCAGGCAGGCAATTAACATCACTAACTGAACAAAATTAATCCAGAATAATTAATTTGAATTTAATTGCAGGACCCAAGATTTCTCAAGGTGTAGCTTTACCTTTTGCAGCCGCTCTGAGGATCCTGGTGTTGTACAGTGTCCTTCAGAGTTCTTGGGAATCTGGAAACAATCCACTTCAGCTCAATTTTTTTGAAAGAGTTGTTTTAATTTGCTCCAGAGAAAGCTGCTTGTGTGTAAAGTCACTGATCTGCTGAGGAGTAATCGGGGAGCTTTTGTGTTTTAATATTTTGATGTTTAAGGGAAGCAGTGACAGAATAAATCCATGTATTTACAAGCTGTTCTGCACTGACTGGGGTACAAAGAGCAAATGAATAAAAGTTCAGCAAACAGCACATAACTAAAAGATATTAACACAGCTCATCTTCAACTGAGCGGTGCTGGAGGAGTCTAAAAGCAAGAGATGATTCCTGGTCCAAGAGCTGGAGGCTGCCCTTTCCAGTAGACCCTGAACTACAGAATTTATACAGAATTTAGAGCTAAAACCCAAGGAGATAGGACTTCAAAGAGATTCTCCCCCATCAATTTACATTTGGGGTTTAGGTTTGTAAATGAAGCCACGTAGGGATTTAGGAATGGTGTTAAGGAAATGGATAGGAAAGGTGCTAGGCATCTAGAATCAGGAAATTTTTATGGAAATACTTGGCTGCTAACAGGATTTACTAGTATCTCCTTGCTCTAATGGATCTTTCTCTTCCACATAATTTCATTACATGTTGCCTGCCTTTCCTGTGTAGTCTCAGCATCCCTGAAACTTGTGGATTCGGTGGAGGAAGGGGCTTTGGACATCAAAGAGTTGCATTGTAACACCAGAGAGGATCAACAGCTCTACATTTAAAGGGGGGCAAACTGGGAACCAGCAGAGCTGGAGAGAGGAGCTGGAACAAGGCACCAATCTGGAGAAGCCAGAGGAAGTGAGAGGCCTTTAACTGCAGGGCAGGATCGCCCCAGCCGGTATCTAACGAACCACCCGGCATTTACTGCCCGTGTTTGTGTATCACAGGCATTTATCAGCACACTCGCTCTACCCTCCTGTTTTTTCCACTTTTTTTTTCCTCTTTTTTTTTTTTTTTTTTTTTTTTTTTTTTTTTTTTTTTTTTTTTTTTTTTTTTTTTTTTTTTTTTATGTTTTTGTACTGTTGTGTCGTTAAATAATTCAAGTATTAAAGTGCAGACCCCAAAACCCTCTCAGCTTGGAGGCATCCTGCAGCCTAGTCTAAAGGGAAGTTTTCTACTTAAGTCGTTACGAACTGAGGTAAACAGGAGCACATCCGCACGTGGGAAAAAAAATAATTCAGTGCATCTAGAGCCAGGAAAGGTTGGACTCGATGATCTCAGAGGTCTTTTCCAACCTAATTGATTCTGTGGAAGCACCACAGGTGTGCGAATTGGCCCGAATTCCTCCCTTTTTTCATCCAGGCAATGTCAGCCCTTCGCCAGCTCGGAGGCGGCTGGGCTCCCCCGCAGCCTCGGCAGGCAGAGGGCAGCAAAGGAGCCTTTTCACGTTTTTCTTTTTTTTTTTTTTTTTTTTTTTTTTGTTCTTAGCCCGTTGCAGTCGGAGCTTTCCATCCCGATTGTGCTAAAACGCTTCTGTAGCAGCGTTTTGCATTTACCAGCCCGGCCTCCGCTCCCCGCGCCGCTCAGCCCGCTCCCAGGCCCCCGGTCCGGGGCTCGCCCCCATCCCGAGCAATTCGAGGGAAGGGGCTCTTTCTGTGCCCCTGTCCCCCGGCCATGCCGGGCTCTTTTCCCCCACCCCACCTCGTTGTGTTCCCCCGATCCCCAACCCTGCTTTGGGGGCAGAGGGGCGCTCCCTGCCTGTGAGGAAAAAAATGCGGGTCTTTCCTTCCACACCCCGCGCTGTGAGGGAAAGGGGGAGTCTGCTCTTCCACACCCCAAGTTGTGAGGGAAACTGACGTCTGCTTTTCCAGACCCCAGGTTGTGAGGGGAAATTGGGGCGTCCACTCTTCCAGACCCCAGGTTTTGAAAGGGGGGAGTCTGTTCTTCCAGACCCCAGGTTGTGAGGGAAATTGGGGTATCTGCTCTTCCAAACCCCAGGTTTTGAAAGGGGGGAGTCTGCTCTTCTAGACCCCAAGTTGTGAGGGAAATTGGGGTATCTGCTCTTCCAAACCCCAGGTTTTGAAAGGGGAGAGTCTGCTTTTCCAGACCCCCTGTTGTGAGGGGGAAATTGGGGCATCTGCTCTTCCAGACCCCAAGTCGTGAGGGAAATTGGGGCGTCCACTCTTCTAAACCCCAGGTTTTGAAAGTGGGGAGTCTGCTTTTCCAGACCCCAGGTTGTGAGGGGGAAATGGGGAGTCTGCTCTTCCAAATGCCAGGTTGTGAAAGGGGGGAGTCTGCTTTTCCAGACCCCAGGTGTGAGGGGACAATAGGGAGTCTGCTCTTCCAGATCCCAGATTGTGAGGGAAATTGGGGTGCCTGCTCTTCCAAACCCCAGTTGTGAGGGAAAATGAGGAGTCTGCACTTCCAGACCCCAGGTTGTGAGGGGAAAATGGGGAGTCTGCTCTTACGGACCCCAGATTGTGTGGGGGAAAGGGGAATCTAGCCTTTCAGCTCCGGATTGTGAGGGGGAAAGGGGTTCAGCCCGCACTACCCCACACGGCGGTTACGAGGGAGTTTACCCCTTACTTCTCCCTGTTCCATCTGCACAGGAAGAGGGGGTGAGGGCCGGTCGGAGGGGCGCCAGCGGGCCCGGGGGGCGTCCGGGCACGGGGAGGGGGCTGTGCCCTGCCCCCCTCCCATTCCCGGCCTGGGACTCTTTCGCTCCCGCCCCCCCCCAGCACCTAAGCGGGAGTTTCCAGGAAGCGCTGAGGAGAGCCGCAGTACCGCACAGCCTCTCGCTCAAGCGCGCGCCTTCCGCCGAGGCCGTGGCAGGAACGCCAAGTAGTCCCAACAGCCTCTCTCCCTCACTCGGCAAAAGGCTCCGTCCCGCGGTCCTTGTAGCCGGGACCCCGTTACAGGAACAGGCTGGGAGAAGCGTTTCCCTCCCCGCATCCTCCCCGCAGTTTCGGGCGGGATAATCGGGATGAAGCGGTGGGGGTGGGGGAGGTGAAAAAGCCCCAGCGCCGGCTGCGGCGGAGGGATCCGGAGGCGCGGAGGAGTGAGGAGGCGCGGGGAGCGGGGGGTGAGCGGGAAAACGCGGCGCGGAGCCGGGAACAGCGCCCCCCTCCCCCTGCGGCGGGGGCGGGAACAGCCGCTGGGGGGGCGCCGTGAGGGGTTCGCTGAGGGGGGACGGGACCCCCGCGCCAAAGTTTGGGGAAACTTTCGTCTGTTTTGGGGCCGGGGCCTGGCCTCAGCGCCGCGCTCCCGCTGCGGGCAGGGAGCGCCCTCAGAGCTGTGCCTGTGCCCCCCTTGCCCGTGTCAGCGCACCTGGGCTCTCCCTGCGCCCCACAGATAAGGCCGGGGCTCGCCGCACCCCGCCGCAGCCCGGGCCCGCCGAGCTGGATAAGCGGAGCCGCCAGGCTGAGGGAAGTTTGCCCCGTGTTCCGCCCCACGCCTGGCCCGCGGGTGCGGTGACTTCGCGCAGGACCCCGCAAATCCCAGCACACGCTGCCGGGAGCCGCGATCCCCGCCGTGCCCCCCCGGCCCTGCCCTCATCCCGGTGACACTCGTGTCCTCCTATTAACCCTGCGGGGAGAAGGACAAAAGCTAAACTATGATCCTGCGCTGCTTCCCCCCACCCCGCCCCATCCCGCTGCCGGCTCCATGAGCTTCACATCCTCCTGCTAAGGCTGAAAGGAACAAGAACAAGAGCTGCTGATGGTTGTAAGGCCTCGCTCGGTTCTCCCCACCCCCTCCGCCAGCACCATCCCCCACTGCAGCTCCCATGGACTCGTATCCCTCCCATTAACGCTGGAAGGGGAGGACAGGAGCTCTGATGGGTTTTTCTCAGGTTCTACTCTGTTTTCTACCCCCACACACCGACCAGCACCAGCTCCACAGCCCTGCAGAAGTGCAGAGCTGGCTCTGCTACCACATCCGTGAATGCCCCTTCCCTCTGAGCTCCAACGAAAAAGGAAAAAAAACACCCTGATTCCCCTCGTTTTGCTTATTCATTATAAGCGGTTGGCAGTGTGCTGTTAAAAACGTGCGATCTCTTGTTTCAGAAGCATCTGTGCTTTAAGAATAAGGTTTTGTCTTCTTGAATGTGGCTCTTCATAATAATCTCTTGAAGTGCTCCATTTTTGTCCTTAAAGTTCAATTTTATTACCTCCTCTGGATCAGCGAAGGTCGGTTTAACCCTTTAGAGATGAGAATCGGCAGCCACTTTAGGAAAACGTTGCCCTTCTCTTTATTAATTCATGGTTACAATAATATTTTATGGAGGATTTTTTTCCCCAGCTCAGTGCTGCTGCATGCTGAAGGAAGTGTGTGCTTCAGCACTGATTAAAGTCATGTATGAGTTAATGAGAAGCTTGCAGAGTATGTGAAGCAAGAGAAAATCTTTAACCAGCTCTGCTGTTCCTTCTACATACCATAAACTTGCACGCTGTAACCAGAAGGTGGATTGAATATGTGTGAAATGCTGCAGTAGGAGACTCTTAAATCTCATCACAGGTGGATGCTTACTCAATTAATACATTATCATTTCAGAATACCTTGAAGTTAGGTGGGTTTGTTGAATTTTTTTTAAGTGTTTTGAGACTTCCCATTTCCACATAAATAGAAATGGATGAAAGATGCTATAAGCTCACAAAGTATTGTTTTGTGGATGGATTTTTTAATTTTGAGCAGTCTGTGATCCCCTGTTCTCACTGCTTCCCGGGTTAATGGATTGATAATACAGGAGGGACTCTGAGGTACTGGAGCAACCAGCAGTGGTGTCAACATTCCAGTTGTGGGACTTCTAATTTAAGAAACTTATTGTCATAAGGAATAAGATCAAGGCTGAATCCTGCTTGCGTTTAGGTCCAAATACAAAATACGCTTTGGAAGGAGTCCCCAGGGAGCACTGAGAGTAATTAAGTAAAAATAAAACCTTTCACTTCAGCCCCCCTCCCCTTCCCCTTTTAACATAGACAAGTCAGTGCAATGCTGGTTTCATTCCACCATTTTCATTATGTGTCCTGATATTTCTTAATTTTGTATTGCAGCTGAAATACTCGGGTGACTTATAATTTCAGTGATTTGGGGGTATTTCTAGACCATACTTTTAAAGAAGTCATCTCGTTGTGTCCCAGAAGGAGCCATTGAGCAGTCGATCTCATAAACAGCAACTGAACTTCTTACAGCCTTGCCTTTCCAAATACCTTTTTCTTTCCCCCTGTAATTTTCATCCTTAACTGTTGAATTCCCTTTTCTTTACATTAAGTAAATATTTATTAGTACCACTTGGATTTTTTTCATCTTCTTAGAAGAACAGAGCCTTGTCACTGAGACAATCCTTTGGTATTGAGCAGGTGACATAAAAAAGGAGTGAAGGAGAGTTATCTTGTGCTGGGAAATGCCATTTTTGGAAAACAATACTATAGGAAATGGAAATGAAAAATACATTTTATGCTGGTGGGAACTTGTAATGAGGCTAAGAGAGGATTTAGTGTCTCAGAAAAGCAATGATTACAAGGGGGAAAGCGGGACTTTATCATCCATTTGTAAAAGTTCTTGGGCTGAATATCCTTTTGGGGACCTGAAATTTGGCTCAAGTCTGTTTATGAACATCTGTTGAATGGAATTTCAAAAAGGCACAGATTATAATCTTAGTTTCTGCTGGCTGTTTAAGAGAATAAAATAAAGCAAAGTCAATGTACCTGCAAGTACATTTTGGGGTTTGTTTTGTTAATGATGAGCTGCATGAGTGTTCAGTAGTCTACTGCTGATTATTGGGCTCTATATGTGTTCCCATACATTTTTCTATTTAACATATCAAATATTGCCTCTACCCCTTTCTGTAGCTGCCTAATTCCATTTGAAGACTCCTAGAAAGCATTCAGGTTTTTGTCGGGCTGTTTTTTGTGACAGGAGGCTCTTGGAGCTTGGTGTCTGTGACATTTCTTCCCCGGGAGCAGGGCGCTGTGTTTGAAGGGGGATGCTGAGAGCTGTTGGGTATTCCCAGAACCGCGGCCGTTTGCTCGATTCACATCCTGCCCACCTGTCCTCTGCCTGGGCCGTAAATGCAACCACTTTGTGTCCCCTGGCTCAGGATAGCACCACTTCAGCCTCTATTTCTGCAGCCTTTGTGGCCTCCTCTTATTCAGGGAGGACTTCACTGTAATTTTCCCTCCTATTATTTTGCCTCTTTTCACAGCCTGATGTTTTTTTGCTGTTGTTTTCTATTCCAAGCGAGGATGCTGTGAGTGCTTCAGCTCAAAATTTAGGTCATCTCCAATAGAGGAAGGGAGACCTAAAAAGTAAAAATAAGATTTCAATGTGCCTTTAAAAGTGACAACTCTTTGGGAAAAAATGTACGAGCTCACCTGTATTTTGTGGCAGGATAGAAATGGAAGGGGCCTTTCCTGATTGCAGAATGAAAGCTGAGTGAGTCTCTCTTTGTGACTGTGGTTTCTTTTCCATGTGCTTTCCTGGTCTTTCATTTTCACACCTGATTTGAGCTTTAATCACTCAAATTATTCATAGACTTGCCCTGGAAAAAGAAGAGAGTGACCTCTTCCCATCTGGAGTAGATGGATTCACCACCAACAATTGCAAATGGATGACTTAATGTTGGGGTTTGCACTTAAAATTTTTAATTCTGTGGTTTCATTGCCTCTTAGGAATTCTGCGTGTGGTCTTTTCTGAGCTGGTAACTTGGAGTTGTATCACAGATATTTATTTCTTGCGGTTTGTCTCTTAGCATCAGGCTTCTGTCTACAAAGAGCTGATGATCCCCTGAGCTGCTGAGTTACCAAAGCACCTTGCCCAGGACCAGGTCTGTGAGTTATTTTTTTTTCTGTAATTATATCCAATGTCTTCCATGACAAGGGACCTCAAGACAATTTATGAAATCAACAGCCACGAAAGCACTGCCCGTTGAACGTTATGTGATTACAATTTAGCTGTTCCTCAGCCTGAGGGGACACAGAGTCAACTGCTCCTCAGTTCCTGTGGGTGGCTGGAATCAGCCACTGGAATTGATAGATATCTGTTGCTCTTTCTTTCCTGTTACTTTAGTGGCTTAATTTAAATAATTAAGGAACTTGTGGATCTGTTTTGTTTGGTTTCTGCTCTTTCTAGCAGCTCTCTGCAGTTTTATATTTATTAAAAGTGCTAAGCTTCCTCTGGCCTAGATGTACAATAAATACCTTAGTCAATGCAGTTAAGTCCAGTTTCCTCTATTCACTCAGAAGAGATTTGTTCCTTATCTGAATTGTTCCTCCATTCAGAAGGAGAGAAGCCTTGCGCAGGCAGAGCTTACCTCATAAATCACCCAGACAAATGGAGCTTGGGGCAGAAGAAGATACAAAATGGGAACAGTTGTGATTTAGGCTCCGTGAGGTTTGTGGAGTTCTGCTGTGGGAATGTGCTTACCAACTATTTAAAATACAAATGTTTAGAATGGTCACCATTTTCCAGCTATTCCTTCAGCTGAATGTGTAGTTATCAGCCGGGCCCTTCTCCTTGAGGGTGCCTCCCTCTCCCTTAAACATCCTCTAGCATTTGGGGTCTTCACCCAGGCTCTGCTCTGATCCACAGATATGGCCCAATCCACTCACTAATTTCTTTGGCTCTGTCGTGGCAGAGGTGGCTCCCAGCCAGCAGTCAGTGCAGCCACAGCAGCTTAGAGACCTGGAGTGCAGCTCCTGGACCAAAGAATGGTAACACAGGTTACATCCCCTCCCAGCCCCAGAGTCAGCCTTTTTCTGCCGCTCACAACTCTTCTGATGACACCAAGCTTCTCTTTGCTTGGTCTCCTGCCTAACTTAAACAATTCATCTCATTTGTCTTCAATATAAGGTTATTTTCTACTATTAGCTCCTTTATAATGTCTTCATTGCTTACAGTTCTGAAGAGTTGGTATCTTTCCTATTCCAAGAGTGGTTTTGTTGGCATGCATTTGTTGGCACTTGTCCTTGTTTCCTCCCTTCCTCCCATACTCACTCTAAGGACCCTTCACATCAATCTCACCTCAGTTACGAGGGGTCCCTCTACCAGACTGGAGCTTCCTGTTGATGTTGTGTCATTTCTGGGCAAGGAAAGGCTGATACCTCTGAGCTCAGTGGTTGCTTCATCTCCTCAGCTCTCCCAGGGGTCTTGCAGGCGCTTTCAGTTCTGCCTCACATCTCTGATTTGGTGAGGTTCCCTGCTATTTACATTTCTTCACATATATTCTCTTCATACCATCTGCTACCTTATGTTTTGCTCATCTCTGAAATGTACTGACCGTATTTCATTCAATGTTGTTCTACATCATTTTCTTAAAATTTAATTAAAAGATTCTGACAGAACAAAGCAAATTAGAATTCACCCATTTTGTGCAGACACTTTAAGAGAATGGGAAGCAACTCAATAAAGACTTTCAAATGCCTTGAATGAATTTGTAACCAAAATTCTGTGCAGTGTTTATCCAAAGAGTCTACTATTGAATTCATGAGGAGAGTTTCATTACTGACAAAAGTTAAGGTTGTTGTTGAAGAAAAGCACCTTCTCTAGAAACTCTCTTTCTTTGGAATTCAGCAGTTCTCCTGAGCAGTATTTACTTTGGAGTGAGTGTGTGGCTGTGCCTTGTTAGATAAAAGCTGCAGCACTAAAACTGTTTTACTGAACTTAGCTCCTGACCTGCCTTCTGAGGCCACAGCTACAAAGGGATGATACATCAATCTAGTTTGTTTGATCTAATTACAGCTGTTTAACCATCCTGAGCACAAGTGCACTCACCCCACTTTGTTATGCTGATTTCAGGTATTTTCACTGTTAATCGGGTGCACAGTGCTTGGTTCTTTCTTGTATTAATTTACCTCTCAAGATATTCTGGGCAGTTACCCCACAGAGAGGTGTTCTGCTACTCAGCTGTATGTTATTTTTCACAATGTGTTGACAGGGAATTCTCAGGAATTTGGGAATTCTGTGGGTCAACCTGACAAATGACTACTCTTTTCTCCTGACATCCATTGTTTGTTCCCCTGTGCAACTTCTTTTCTGAAAGGCTGCAAGGTTCATGAAGAAGAAAGTGGTAAATCCATTAAAACATCCCTTAACGTGCAGAAGCCCATTGCCACCTATGGAAAAGCAGATTTCTGATTATTTCTAACTGAAGTCTCTGTGGTTTATGTCAAGAATATTGCCATGGGATCTTCTTTTAATATATAAGATGTTTTGCGCTTGTGAGGTATCCTCTGGTGAGAACACTGAGAAAAACAAAAAGGTAAAGAAAAAAAGGAGGAAACCACCCCAACTGAAGATGCTTTTTGGCTCCGTGCTTGAGCGTGTTATTGTTTATAGGAAGTGGAAGAGGTGGCAGATCCAAGGAAGCGTGGAGGAGCGGGATAGAAAGCATCTCCAGTGGGCAGGCACCTAGGACAGAAGGTCCCAGAAGGGCAGCTCTGGTTTGTTGCCATTTTGCTAAAGCAGGTACATTTTGTGTGGAGAAGGGAAGAGACGTGAGATGAAAGAAATGGGTGCTGCATGCTCCTGGTGGTTCCTTATGATGGAAACAGACTTTGGGAAAACCAGGCCTGTGGTGTGAGCCTTCCTGGTCTTCTGGGAGGTGCAGTCCTCCGGGATTTTGGAAGCTGTTCCCTTGGGAATCTTCCTCTTTGGAGTTCCCTGCCGAGGTGGCAGTGACAGTGTGTGCAGGCCCGGCCGCACAAGGATCAGTGCTGAGTCCTCCAAGCACGGTCTGCCACGGGGAATGTGCTGAGCTGGTGTGTGCTCCAGGCCCACAGTAATTCACCCTCCGTTCCGTGGTTCTTCACGCTCCTGTGACCCGGATGAATTTACCAGGGAGCTGAGCAGGGTGTTCAGTTTTCCTCTCTGTGGTTCTTACACTTTTGCCCACCCTAATCCAGTTCTTTGCGCCATGATGCAAACTCTAATAAATCAAATCATACAACCTGCCTTCTCAAACTCTTGTCTCATTCAGAGTTTTCTTTTATCCTTGTTATTTGATGTTTGCTTCCATATTTTATTTATTGCATATAATTCAAGTGCTGCAGTAAATACAGAATTACTAATTGTAATGGGTTTTTGTTACACTTATCACTACAGTGTCTGAATACTTTTTAACCACCATTAATGAATCTTCACAATATTGCAGAGATTTCCTTCTCATTTCACTGATTAAAAGTGGGGAAAATAATGACAAAACTGTCAAAGTTCTCCACTGGGTCTATGTTCCCCTGAGGAAAGAAGGATACTCTAAAATCTAGTTTTTCTAATAATAAGGCATTCTATTCTGGCAATCATTTTAATTGTACTTAGGCCTTTAGATATGTATTTGTTGCCAACATAACCCTTGAGTTCAAATACTGTCTTCAAGCCACAGTCTGTGTATACAAACTCACCCTATCGCCCCTGTCTTTGTTGGAGTTTGCTGAAAGGAAGCTTCACCCTTCTCTCCTGACAGATTCCTTGCTCTTGTAACCAGCTCAGGGAGCTTTTTCTGTGATTATTCCAGTTTTATCGTGTGTCATTCTTGAATAGAAACCGTACCCAAAATTCTGTAAGAAAGCTGTTGCCATAACATCTGGATGTGCCTTACCTGGTCTTTAGATGCCATTTGTCATCTTTGTTTCTGTGACTAAACAACGATCCTGAGTCTCCATCCTTCCCTAGCTGTGGTGCATTCCCAGGTTACCAGAGTTTTGGCTGTCAGTCCCCCTGTGAACAGCCTTGTGATTTGCATTAATCTTATTACTGCATTCCACCAGCCCATTCCTGAGGATTCCTGTGTTGTTCCAGAACCTCATCCAGTTCTTCATTTAGGATATTCCAGTCCCCTGCACTGGTGCCTTTGGATGTTGTCAGTCACCACCTGCATGAACGCTCTTTTTCAGATCCTTGTGCTCATGTCAAAGCCCATCAACAGCACCAGTTCTGAGACCAAAGCTGCAGGAGCTTTTAAAGCATTCTCTCTCTAGCCCCAAACTTCCCATTTCAGCACAATCCAGCACTGGTTTTTAGTCATTTTTTACCCACAAAACTTCTCTTGCACTGACTTTCATATTTTCCATTTTAACTGGTATTTTTACATGATGCACCAGACCAAACACTTTATTTATTTGGAGATGGGTGAGATCTGCTCTGTCTTCCTTTACCCAGAAAAATTTCTTGCCCTATCAAAGAAATACATCAGCTTTGGCATTATTGCAACCTTTGTTGTATTTTATCTCTTTACTTTCCTCTACATCTTTTCCCTCTCCTGAGGAAGAATAATTTAAGTTTTGCATCTCACTGAGGTCAGGTTAATTAGCCTCTCGTTGTCTGGACATTACTTGTACCGTATTTGGCTTGATTTTAGGGTGAGTTTTTTCCTTTCTCCTCATAATAGGATATCAAATTTAGATTATTTTTGTACCTCTAGAAATGGTGGAAACAAATTCACTCATTTGCATCACAACTCAGCTGTAGTGCTTCATGTTTAGATTAGGTTTTGTTTATTGGTAGGTGTTTTGGGTTTTTTTATTTTTAAAGGAAGTTGTTGTGCTGTGGCTATTAAACAGGTCAAAGAAATAATTTTGGAGTATTTGTGAAGTTCTTTAAAGATAATGATAATGAGCAGTTTCTTGAGCAATGATAGCTGAATCCAGGGCTCCGTTATCCTGTGGGATGCTGATAAGTGCCAGGGGCTCATCACTGCCCTGCAGAAGTTCTGCTCCTGGTGCTGCCTCAGCATTATTTACTGCTCTCAGCCCTGTGCTTAAACAGAACATGAAGCGTGCTGGGCACTCTGCACACATGTATTGAGGCAGCCCTGCACAAAATACTCTCTAAAAATAGACAAGGTAGGTGAAACAATAGGAAGGCAGTGATTCCAGAGGTCGGGGTGGCACGGGGAGGGCTGCAGTGCCCCCTTGCCTGCGGGAACCCCAGCACAGGAAAGCCCGAGGTCAGTAACTATGTTTCCTGAAGCTGGGATAAGTAATACTTTTAAATACTTTGTTTCATAATACTGTTAATTGCATCTTTTTCTGACAGCTGCAATGACTCTGACTCCATCTGATCACGTTTCAGTCAGAATCTAATTCTAAAGATTGGGATGCAAGGAACAGCCATTACATGATTGGATTTGGAGTGGTTTTTTTTTTTGTTTTTGCCGGATATACTCAATACTTCCATAAATATTTGAAAATTATGTCTTTTTTACGATTCTTCAGTATGTCTGGAGCTCAGTTTTGCAGAGGAAGCTCTGGCCGATGCCTTTGTTTTAGTGAAAAATGTGTGTGATATCCCAGCCTCTACCAGCAGTGCTGTTGCTGAGGTGTGATCACGGGCCTCTCTCAAGGCAGAGACAACTGATGGATAAAAATGACCTCATTTCACAGTCCCAGAGCTGAACTCTGAAAGTTCCAGCAAAGCTGGTCAGAATGTGTTTGAATTTTTGTTTGTGAGTAAATGTCACCAAGGTCCCTACTTGTGACGTTCAGAAGGTGACTTTTAGGCTGTTTGAGCTCGAGGGGTGGAGGCCTGGAGCAGAAAATCCATCCCCGCACAGGGACCCGAGTGTGTGGGAAGTCCCCACACTCCCGGGGGTGCTGATTACAGAATTCAGATTGGAATTACGCGTTTATGTGAGCCTGCTGAAAGGTAGATAAGGACAATTACTGCTTGACCCTTTCTGGGCCAGTGTTTGCAAGCTGCTCAACACCGTGTTTATGTGGAATGCTGCGATTGTTTTGGGTTATTCATTATTTCAGCAGTTATTTGTGCCTGCCTTTGTACAGCTGGAATGAAGGGACGGACGTTACTAAGTGTTCTCCCCATAGCATGAATATTTAATAGTTTGTATGTTCCTTCTCTGTGTCGTGTGTGTGTGTGTGTGTGTGTGTGTGTGTGTGTGTGTGTGTGTGTGTGTGCCTATATAATACCAACAAAATCTCTTAAAGTCAGTTTTTGCAAGAGATTTTCAAAGCACATCATGTAACTGAGTCACGGTGCTGAGTAAACCGCTATTGTAGGATTTCACCTAAGATCTGAATTTGCCAAATGGTGATATTTTGCAAATAAGCACAGATTCTGCTAACTTCCCCTTGAGATTTTATTCCAGTCTGATCCAATTTCCCAGTATGGGTGAACTGGTGTCTCTTAGAAATAAAGGAGAAATGTTTAGCCTATTGAAAAGAGGATTTTCTTTGTTTCTGAGATGTGCAGATACTCATGTCCTGGAGCTCAGAGCTGCTCTGAGTGTGCTGGGCGGATCCTGCAAAGTGCTGAGTGCATGGCTAACTTTAAGGGAGTAGATCCTTAAAATCACCGGGGCTGCTGATGTTTAAAATTACGCAGAGATTTAAGTACTCTGATGGCCCCCGGCCAGTGGCTTTCACATCTCCTAGGACTGAGCCCTAGGAGACTGATCACGCAGTGATCAGCTGCAGCTCAGTTTCCTTCTCCCCCTTAAATACAAGGTTTAAAACCCAAATTCTGACAGCTGTTTAATTAAAGATACTCATTTTAACCGTGAGGAATGTGATACGCAGCGGCGCTACGCCTGCTTTCTTTCTTTCTGCCTCTCCTGGCATCCCAGCTCACTCCTCTCAGCGTTAGTGCAGGGCTTGCAGTTTTCACTGCTGCTCCGTTCCTGCTTTATCCTCTTCCATCTTTTCCATCTGCTTTATTCTGTTTGGAAAATGGCAATGTAGAATGTGTTTGGTGTAACCTTAATCCTGACCAGCATCTGGGCTCCGTTTGAAAAAAAAAAGCATCTACTGCAAGGAAGGTTTCTGTATATGTTTCCCCACTTTACTAAAACAAAGTTGGGGGGCGGGGAGGGGCAGAACCCAAAATAACCATTCCGAAATGATATTTATTTTAATTGACTCGGTAATTAATATGCGGGTTTTAATGTGTTTTCGTGCCTACATGGACAAACCGTGGGGTTTGTGCTCTCACCGCTGTCCGGGTGGGGGTCGAGTCAGAGGTAAACCGGATTTGGATCATTTTAGGAAAGGAGAGAAAGGGGGGAGGGGGGTGGTTATTTAAATCTGCTTTTAACAGCTTCGCTGCTAATTACTCCCAATATGTAAAAGTTAGCGCCACCATAAAACACGGGATGCACTGAAATTCCTGCCTGATGCTTCCTGACGTTTCCCTGCTAAACTTTCCCAGGCCCGCGGAGGTCCCGGTGCGGGGCCGCTCGGGGCCGGCCCCGGGGCTCGGGCCGCGGGCAGCGGCGGGGCCGGGGGGCGCCGGGAGCGGGCACGGCTCGGGCACCGCGTCCCGCGGAGCTCAGGGTGCTCCACGCGGGGCCGTGCGGGGGTGGGACCGCTCCCAGCCGGCCGGGACGGCGCTTCCCGGCCCCGCTGCTCTTCCCGGGGGGCCAGCCCCGACCCCCGAACCCCCTTTTCCATTCCTGCCGCTGTTGGATTTTCCCGAGCCGCATCTGCTCCGCGCTGCCAGCCCGGGGCTCTTGAACTTCAGTCCCCAGCAGCCACAGAGGTCGCTTCTGAGCTCCACACGAAGCCTTTTTTTAATTCATTATTTATTTTCCCCCAGCTCAGGCTCTCCCTCCCTCATGGCCGGAGTGGAAAAGCACGTTTAAATCCCGAACTCGGCTTTCCCACGTGGTGTCTCGCTGAGCTGCTGTCACAGCCACGCCGCGCTCTCACAGGGCACCGGACTTCTCCCCTGCCCTGCCGGGAGGGCACAAGGTGATGAACATTTTTAAACAAACCGTATTTTCGGGACACCTCACTAAACCCCAAACTTGTGCAGAAAAAGTCACTCGCCTCGTGAGTTAAAAAGCTCCTACTTTTTAATTTCACCTGGACTGAGTGTACAAATAATGAGGGGATCAGTTCTGCTCCCCTTTCCTGGGTGCCTGCTAAAGGGATGGATGTTTGTCAGCAATTTGGGGGTTAATTCAGACAAGTTTATTTCACGTTCTGGGTCTGTGTACACGCAAAGAGCACGCGTGGTTTGGGGCAAAGGATTAGCAGCGCGTGCAGGGGGACAAAACCAATTGTGGATGTGAATATGGGGTTGTCCTGGGTGTGTGTCTAAGCATTAAATCGAGGGGGGGCTGGGTTTTAGGTGACTTTTCACCCCATTCCGAGATCATGGTCACAATGCACCGTGTTTCAACACTCACTGGACAGAAAGGGACACAGAGGGGAGGCAGGGCAGTACCCCAAATTGCATCTGGGCTTCAGACTGCGCTGCAATCTCAAAGGGAGGGTATGCCCAGCCTTTAATTATTCAGCTTAAACAGGCCTAGAGCACGCCACATTTTTAAGGCCTTTTCCCTGGTGTCTCTAGGAGGCAGCCTTCATCGAGCGAGGAGAGCGAATCTTGGCAAAAAGAGCACCGAAGGATGTGAACCCCTTGGAAAATTCCACTTCCTGCCCAGCACTGCGTGTCCTTGGGTCTCTCACTCATTCCCATGCACTTAACGAGGGATTTCTGCCTCAGGCCACCACACCAACTTTCTAAATAAATGCCGCGCACACCCGAGCGCCGTGCTCTGCAGTTAATCTCAGCCCAGCACCAGCTCTCTCTCCTCTCTTCCTACTTCCCTCCATTTTATTTCTCCGCTGGTTTTTCTCTCCAGCACGCTCCAACTCTCTCTCCTGCTGAACTTGCCGGGAACAAAAGGCTCCGTTCCCGATCCAGCCCGCAGTTGCCGTGAGAAACTTCCTCGCCAGCGCTGTCTGTCGCTCCGCTCTCCCTCCCTCGCTCCCTCCCTGCCTCGGGAAAATGGCAGTGCGAGAGCTTGATGAAAAGGGGGAAAAAAACCTTCTTTCTCAGCGCCTGCCTCTCCTGCAGCACCCCCTCTCCCCAGTCGTGACGCCTGAACTCAAACTTCTCTAAAAATACACTTTAGGAGGGTAGATTTTCACGGGAGGGGATGTGATTTTTACACCCCACTGAAAAGAGGTGCTGAGGTGGGGGAAAGGCCGAGGGACAGCTTTTTCCAAGACAGGAGAACCTGCTGCTGACCCTTCCCGCACGGCATCTCCAGGTCCCAAGGATTTGGAACACAATAAGTTTTCCTTCAGTGGGAAAATCCAGGCCCAGAGTTCAGATCTTTCTCTTTTTGCAGATTTAAAAGCCTTTTTTTTCCCTTTTTTTTTAACTCTTCACAGTGGGGTTCGCGGCAGAATACAGTCACACTGCCAACCCACCCGAGGGCTCCCAAATCTGGTGGGATTCAGGGAAAACAGACGGTTGGCTCCGGATCCAGTGCAGGGGTTTTTGCAAACTCCGGTCCGCGTTTTGATTTTCTTTTTTGCCCTTTTTTTTTT